CCCCCCTTACAGAAAGACATGGCCCACTTCGACGGGTGTCTGGAGGCCATCGACCAGAACTCGAGCAATGCGAAGGTGTTTGTGCTGATCCATAAGATGGATCTCGTGCCTGAGGACCAACGTGAGCGCGTATGTAAAGATACTCTTGCCATATTTGAAGCGCATACGATCTAAATTTCTGTTGAAATCTGCAGGTGTTCAACCAAAAGAAGGAGATGATTTTGGCGCGCACGGGTCAACTGCCGACTGTGTGCTTTGGCACCTCCATCTGGGACGAAACGCTGTATCGCGCTTGGTCGTCCATTGTGTACTCATTGATCCCGAACATGCAGGATCTGGAAAAGCACCTGAACAGCTTTTGCTCTATCTGCAGCGCTGACGAGGTGGTGCTGTTTGAGCGTGCCACTTTCCTTGTGATCTCACACGCTACGCACACGAACCACCGCGACATCCATCGCTTTGAAAAGATCAGCAACATCATTAAGCAGTTCAAGTTAAGCTGCAGCAAGACCCAGGCGCAGTTCCAGGGCATGGAGGTGCGCAATTCGAACTTCACGGCCTTCATCGATTTCTTCACCGCCAACACGTACATCATGATCATCATGTCCGACGACTCGATCCGTAAGTGGCGTTGGAAACCTTGTTGTTATCATGTTGTTACTGACGTTTTTCATTTGTTTTGATCAAATAGAACCGGCGACAATTCATCTGAATATCAAGGCGGCTCGCCCTGTATTTGAGGAGCACGTGCAACAGACGAGTTAAGTGCGTTAAGCAGTACCAGTGATAAGCCATTTGAGGAAAAACTGTGCCGCACATATTTGAATAACGTGACAAATCTAACGCGCGAAGAGCTTATAGTGCGAATTCAATCACCTTTATTGCATATACGCGTCGAGAGAGCTCTAGGATCTCCGTTGAATACGACATTCATTGAATCAAATTATTCAGATGGCGGCGGACTTCGGCTGGATGAGTTGGTTGATGCAAGCATGTACCCTCTGCGCCTCAATGCACGTAAAACCACGGGAGTGACAGCAAATGTAAGTGGCCACCGGACGGGGGCCAACACTTTGTACAGCGTGTAGGCGATGAGGAGAGACCCGGCTGAGTTGGTTGTTGAGTCACTCGCTGAGGTGGATAAGCCCACCGAGTCTAAGAGAGAGGATACGTCCACGCCGCTTGAGACGCCCACGTAGATGATAGAGAACGACAGAACCGACAGCACGATGTGCGTGCAGATGCCCACGCGGCCGTACTCGACGGCGAAGGTCTTGGCTCGTTGGCGCCACGACTGTCGTTGATGTTCTTCCGTGGGCTGCTCCAGCTCCTTCTCGAGATCCTCATCGCTCTGTAGTTGTGGTGGCATAAGTACAACAGCCAGTCAAAATGTTAATGTGTTGTAGCGGTCTCACGAGTTGTGAGTATTAGCAGATGGGATAACTCACCTGGACTGGGGATGATGATGACGTAGCCTCTCCCCTAAGGGGTGCCGTCTCTTTCGAGTCCTGGGACGTCCTGCCACTGGACCAGAGGCGGAAGTTAGCGCTGCGCCTCACAGCAAATGCAGACGGTGATGGAAAGCCGAGCACACGGCGTGGCGCAGCACCAGCGGCAGCCCCAGTGGGGACATGCGGCCAGCAGGAGATGGAAAAGACGCGGTTACTGCTGCTGTTAGGAGCCATAGATGAGAGAGACCGCGCAACGAGCAGCTGTACATTCGATCCGGAGCCGACACCGCGCCGCGCCATGCTCTCAACCACGCATAAATACCTCAATCCGCCGCGAAGCATCATTGCAAGGAAGAGAAAGTGACGACAACAAGCTTGATGGCCCCTGTATTTACTTTTGACCAATGAACATACATATCGAATACGACACTTCATTTCGGACACGGTATTTTATTGAACTGCCGCATCTTGCATATCATCACTTGAAGAGCGAATGTCTTCGGCTCCGATCCGCGGCCTCTGGGCGGCGCGCGGTGTGCTCCGTCGCAATACTCGTGGGGTATTAACTGCTGATGCGTATCCCCGGTTAGTGCTGCGGTCGGCGGGCGCCACCCAGCGTGAACTCTCCATCACTAAAGGAGACATTTCGAGCAAGTCAAAGCGAGGAGGAGACGCAGCGGAAGACTCGACGCACCAGCGCCAGCGATCCTCATTCCTGCGCAGCATCGACTTGAGCAACCCGGCGGCGCAGCGGAAGTTGTCCAAGCTGATCCAGGAGGTGGTGAAGACCAAGGCCAATACCGGCGGTGCGATGCTTGTACTAAGCAATGCATTAATTAAAACACGATAGGGTATTTACTCTTTTGAGGCAGATTTTGTGCCACAGGTAGTCATACAGAGCCTGTGCACGACGTACCGAGGTATGGACATTGACGAGAAGAAGCAGTTCCTGCTGATCTTGGCCCAAGACTTGCATATCGACACAGCCATGGCTTTGCAAAGTGCCGCTCAGTTCGAGCAGAACATGAACAACATCAAGGATGCTCGCAGTGGCGACGTGAACTGGGAGCACGAGAACGTGGAGAGGTACCTTCGAACGTTCAGGAATCTCCGCAATGCACTCGCGCCACTTTACGAGGTATTGACATGTGCAGTAAGTGGAAACTATAAAGCATCTGACGACTATGGTGCGTGTGCTAGACGTTCTTCCAACAAATCCTGTCACAACGAGAAAACGGCATGTTGTTTTTGGTACACATGCGAGCCGACTTGTTGCAAGTGTTGCGCAAGAGCGCGACTCATTCCGAACTACCAGCTCTTCGTTCACTTGACGCAAGCTTGAAAGTAAGTAAACACAATACGTGGGATAAATTGTCGGTTACTTATTTGCTTCTGTATAGCACTTTCTGGCATCATGGTTCAGCGTTGGGTTCCTGAAGTTGCAACGTGTGACCTACGAGCACTCTCCTGGCCAGCTTTTGGAGAAGATCATTCGCTATGAAGCTGTACATCCTGTGGGCACGATTGCTGAGCTTAAGAGGCGGCTTGGTATGGCTTGAAAGTGAATTACACCTGAAAGTTCTCCCCACAGATGACAAAATTATGTTTGTTTCTCCTTCTAGGCAATGGACGGCGTTGCTTTGCGTTTTTCCACCCAAGGTGAGATATTTGGAATTGAACAATTACGGAAGCTTCTTACAACTATACTGAAGTAAGTATTGCGTTTTCTTTCAGCATTCCGGATGAGCCCTTGGTCTTTGTGCATGTAGCATTGATGCACGAGATCGCATCTAGCATGCAGTCCATTCGTGACGAAACGGAGCAATTATCAGAAGACTCCCAAGCTTACGCTGCAATCTTCTACTCCATCTCGTCGACGCAAAAGGGACTTGCGGTAAGACTGGATAATTTATAATTGTGATAGCCACAAGTTTGCTAACTCGCCGTATCTGTATTTCACAGGGGGTTGACCTGGGTAATTTCCTCATTAAAGAGGTCGCTAAAGCCCTCAAGACGGAGCACCCACACTTGAAAACGTTCGCAACGTTGAGCCCTTTGCCCCAGTTCATGCTATGGCTAGAAACACAGCGGTACAAAACTGATGAGTCGCTGGTGTCCCCGCTCGAACTGGATGCTCTGATCGATGTGTTAGAAGAGCGTGGGAACGCCATCCAATCGGACGCGACTCCTGTTTCCATTGTTTTGGATACACTTTCGATCGATAAATGGATCAAAGACCCGGAGTTGGTTACATCATTGAAGCCTATCATGCTGAAGCTCGGTGCCCGCTACATCTATCATGAAAAGAAGCGTGGGAAGGCGTTGGACCCTGTTGCGAACTTTCACGTCCGAAATGGCGCCATTTTCGAGCGTATCAACTGGCAGGCAGATCTGTCCAAGAAGGTGCGTAGGGTCTGGACTATTGGATACTTGCTTTGCATATCACCTTTTTACTGAGTTTTGGCTGCTATTGTGTTTATTCTGTTTAGGGCCTTGCGCAAAGCGCTGGGATGATGATCAACTACAAATACGATTTGGCTCATGTGGAGGCAAACAATGAGAATTACTTGTTGCACAACATTATCCCAATTGGGCTTCAACCGCAGCAAGTGCTTGGAGCGCGCTCCATTTAACCGAGAACGAGTGGGTCTACTTCTGGAAATTTCTCTGTTTTTGTGACATGGTTGGCCACATCTCGAGAATTTTGGTATTCCTTGAAGAGTCGTGCAACTAAACCTCCGTAGATTGGCAACGTGAAGTCAAGATGGTCCTGGCGCAAGACGAGATCGATGCTTGCCGAGAAGCATTCCTGGCATTCGACAAGGACCGGTGAGGACGTCATTAAAGGATTTGGTGGGAATAGTGGCCGATGACGCGGAATTTGTGTGGTAAAAATTAGGAGTGGCACCATTGATGTCTGGGAGTTACGGCAAGTGCTCGAAGGTAGATAGTGGTTTTGCACGTTTGAATATGATGATAACTTTGTTGTTAACCAACTCGATTAGCAATGGGACAGCAACCGACCGAAGAGGAGTTGTTTCAGATGATCAGCGAAGTAGACGAGGATATGAGCGGCGCTATAGGTATTCAAATTGTTACTTGCCGACGGTGGTAAAATTCTTAAACTCGTTATGACTTAGATTTTGCCGAGTTTCTACAGGTCATCGACAATCAAAAGGATCGAGCCGCTATGTTTGAAGACGACAGTGACATGAGTACGTACAATACCTCTTTGTATTGGGGACATCGATAGTATGCTTACATTTACCCCTTTCCGAGCAGTCGATGCATTCGTTGCATGCGGTGGCAAGCCAGACAAGTCAGGGTTCGTGCGAAAGGAGACACTGGTGAAAATTATTAAAGGCGACTTTGGTCTTACTATCAATATTGAGGAGATGATCAACAAGCTGGATGTGGATGGCAGCGGAGAGATCGAATTTGACGAGTTCAAGGCCATTCTGACGTGATACTGTACAGGAGCGAAAAGCAAGCAATCTTTCTATAATACTACTTGTATTAATAGTACTTGTGAGTTATGTTCGTGAGGAATACTACGTAGTACATAATGTCAAGATCACACGTGGCTACTGTTGGCTTGACAGGAGTCGTATTCGTTGCCTACCTCATCCATAATTGGATGCACATGTTGGCGGTTCACTTTTACAATGTGATCGACCAACCTAGATGCAAAATACCTCGTGAAAAAAAATCAAATGCTGCCCATACACGTATTCTTTTGCATTTGCTGGCATGAATCCACTGTTTTTTGTGCTCTCTTACCAACGGAGATTCTGATTGCTGCTTTCGCCAGTTGCCTCAAGGCAACTAGGCCGCATATACAAAGAGGCTGTTGCGAATGGATACAGCGACTTCGTTCAGCGATGGGTGCCAGCTAGTCTGTAAGATCTTCTTGGAGAAATCCAATGCGTCCGGGTCACCTGGAGTCGGCATCGCGGCAATCTGTTGCGCGATACCTCGCTGTGGCATGGAGTGGCGGCGACTCACCCGTGCGGTACGCGGTGTGATGGAAATATCGGCACGCCCGTAGCGGTCATAAATATGGAACTCGCTGTTGTACGAGCCCGTGATGAAGTTGTTGCCGTCCCCGCTGACTGCGCACTCGAATTTATCGAAAATGCAATCGCTCTCGTACAGATCTCCCAACCGCGGGCGAAGGTGCTCGTGGATCTTTATGTTAAAGCAATAACATGAGACCACAACATGTTAGTTCATATTGCGTCAACAGAATACGGTGCACTTACATTAATTGTTTGAACTGGACGAGAGTTCATGTTGATGTCCCAGACTTTAAGCGTGAGGAAGTCGCGTGCAATGATGTAGCGACCGTCCGGAGAGAATTTGATATCCGAGATGGACGCAATAATCTCAGAGAAGAAGCTTCGAGCTTCAGGGTCTTCTTGCTCTTCAAACACTACAGTGGCATTCCAGCGAGTCAAATAATGTAGCTCCGAATATCGCAACAACCAACACTAAAATGTGCGAACCTTGTGAGTATGCGTCGCATAGAGCCGATTGTCGCATGTCACCTAGCTTGATGGCGCCACGACTGGTGCTATACATCATCGTGTTGCAGTGTGTAGGGTGGAAATCCGCAGCTGTGATGACTTCGGTGAGCTCTTCCATGTTCGCAGGCTTGATGTCGACGATATCTACACGAGCACGTATATTTGTTAGAGCGACAGTCAATTTCAACCAGCGGTAAATACTCACTGAAGCTTTGATTAGAGATACCAAGACTCCATAAGTTCACGCGTAGATCGTCAGCCGAAATGAACGTCTCTCCGTCGCTGTTTATCGCGATCGAGTTGATGTGGTATGTGTGTGCGTTTGAATACACCCGCTTGGCTGTGCTGGTCGTAACTTGGCCTCGGGTGTGTATTAGCGGCAGCCGAATAAGTTCCGGGGTAATCTGTGCTCGTGGGACGTGCGCAAGACTCTGTTCATTGTACGTCGTGACCTCACGGACGCTGCGCTCGTGTATCTTCCAGAGTTTGATGGTCTTGTCGTTTGTCGACAGCAGGCAATGGGATCCGCCTGACGGACGGCACCATTTGATCTGATTGATCTTTTCCTCTATCTCGAGGCTTTTGAGGTAGTCAAACTCGGCGTTGTGGCTCTGAAACTCCGTGTACAACTGGTATTGCGGGTCGCCACTCGTTCCGCTGTACATGGATTGATTCTAATTTACGTACGAACCATATACCGTTAGAAAACCACTCGAAACACATTGCAGTGAATAATCAACCAACCGATGCTGGGTTTCCGTGGCGGCAGTAGATGGAGATGCGTCCACCTTTGTTTCCTGTGGCTAGAAAGTCTCCCGATCGGTCATATTCAATTGCAGAAACCACCTCGGCTGCAGAATTAACGTCCAACAATTGTAATTAATAATAACCAAGCCGACAGACAATCATTCAGACCTACCTTCCACAAAACTGCGTGTGCTCTCCCCTGCCGAAAAAACTTGTCCCCACTCGGCGTCAGCTTCACGTGTGGGTTCCGCCATGTCAACTTCTAGCCCGTCCGTCACGCTCTGCTTGAGTCTCGACAACGCACCCACTCGGGCCTCTTCAATGTCCCCCTGTAAATTTGCTTGAGTCATGCAGTAAACGCTGGCGGGGGTATCAAGTGCTCTCCTCTCGGCCCGCAGTGCTGAGGAGACGAACGAGTCGTGTGTGGGGATGGTTGGCCTGGCTGGTTGCCTGCTGACCTAAAGCTGTGCCTATTCTCGCCGCGGAGGATCTCGAGGTGTTGGATGAACTCAAAGGGCCGCTGGGAGGGGAGTTTCGTTTCTCACACTGACAGACAGGCAGGCGACCGCTTAGAAATGGACGGCAGGAACGAGATTGAAGCGGTGACGGTGGCCTATAAAGATGCAAATCGCGGGCAGCGACGCTGGCACTGGATGACTCGCACGCACGAGCTTACAATCTGCGGAGGCGCCAGGCTGTGGCGATCGATCAGCGACGAATGAAATGAGGTCGGGCCCAATGGTCGAGCTTGACATGCATCGCGATCTTCAATCGCCTTTTTGTTCCATGGATTGTTTCAACCAATCATCATAAGCGTACCCATTTTAGCCGCGTCTTTTTCACCAATCAGCAAGCGAAGGACAAAAATCGAAGCACCAAAACAAGTAGAAACGGGACAGCGGTATCAAAACACGTCAAGCATATCTTGCAACAAAGGTAGTGTTTGAGATTTCAAACGTTTTACTGCTCTGACATGGTCGAGGCGAACTTTCAATGTAGTACTGCTGACTTACTGAACAAGATACATGAACGCGCTGCGTAGAGAAAATGAGCGGTGTCAGCCTTAAATTGAGAACTATTACGAAGACAGGTTGCGATTCAGGTGATCGTGAAGCTGTTCAGCCGTTGTGTGTGTTATAAGGTTAGCCGTATTAAGCTACTAATTATGGCTCAGCAGTCCAGTACAGTTGTCAAATAGTACGTGAAATGAATTCCTGTCGTTCTCGCAATCTTGGTGCTGCATTGTTTCTGTCGTTTGGTACCAGGAACAGGTTCCTGAACCTTGATCAGCAGTGGCGTTGAAGGGATTTCTTGGACAGCAGCTTCCTGCGGCAGCAGTGCTGGACAGCCTCAAAGCCAAATGATGTTTTCCTCAGACGATCCAGTGACTCTACCCGTCACCAAGGTGGTGAGTGGCTCAACGTGAGCATGGCAAGTACCCGATGACTCCCGCAGCAGCAACCTGGTAAATACATTATCTCCTACCGTGAACGTGATGATTTTAAATGCTATGCTTCAGCGAGCATGAACCTGAAAACGAAAGTTTTCGTAGCTACATGTATTTGATGATGATGATGGAAAGATCTGTTGATTGGGTTATATCCCAAGATATTGCATTTAGTAAGCCTACTTGGACTTCGTCGTATTTGACGATCTGATAATGACTCTCCTTCTTCTACCATGGCTCGCTCCTTGGTCACCTCACAATCTCGCTCTGCTGGATCGATACATCGGGCTTCACGGGGGACACTTTCCATGAGGGCATAAATTATTTTCTACAATTCAATTGATAAATTTAATCAGCACAGCAAATTAATTTTAAAAAAACAACGATATAAATGTAAAATAATATTATTGGCAAACACCAAATTGACGACGACGTTCATCAGATTCTGGAATGGCGAGAATGGCCCCGTCACGTACGCGCGCCGTCAAGGCACCCGCCGCCTCCGCTGCTGCTCGTAAGCGGCGCCGGACGTCTCCCGATTCCTCTTCTTCCGAGGATGAGCAGGAGTTGGTGAAAGACACGCGTCGAGGCCGCGGCAAGCGGCAGAAGGCCAGCGCCATTCTAAACGAATTCACGAGTCTGGACGCGCTGCTGAGCAACGACCTGGCAGAAAAGCGTAAACGCGAGAATCGCGAGCGCAAGCTGCAGAAGTTGCGCCAAGAGAGCGAGACTGTGGACAAGGATGCACCGCTGGGAAAGCTCATGAGTAGCATGGACACCAACATGTCGACGCTTTCGGGTGACAGCTATCTGTTCTCGGCCCCAGAGGTGACAGTCACGGAAGAAAAGTTCGGCTATGTATTCACACCAATGACCGAGGTCTGTGACTTGACTGCCGAGAGACTATATATGATATATAAGGACTAATTGCTGCTTGGTGGTTTGATTGATTCAGCCGCTGCCGTACCGCACGTACAAGGCGACGGAAAATGAGCTACAGAGCGACCTCAAGCTCGTGTACGAGACCATGCAAACTACTGACGATGAAGAGCTGAGCGGACTTCTGTGGTCCAAAGCCATTTTGATTCGCTGCATGCTCAAGCGCCAGAGTGAATCAACCAGTCGAGACGCTGGGATGACGCCCATAATCCTACCTTCAAAGATTGGATCTTGGTTATTTATGACGAGTACGTTGTGAGAGTGCTGGTGGATGGAGATATGTTATACGAAATCTGACTAACGATGTTGTGTTTTGCTAAAGTGTCAACTCACAGCAATAGCCACGTGGTTGGAGGGTGCTTCAGCAACCTCTTTTTGATTCAGAGCTCCGCTAAGAAGATGTTCATCCCGAATTTAAACTCGGCTCTTCCAGTGGCGTGTTTTTCGCATCCGATTGAGGATTTTCGGTCAGCGTTTGGCACCAATACCCCTCCTATCGAAATGGAATGGGAGCCGTCCATCTACGACTTCCTCAATGCCTTCCGTGCATACGGTTTCCAAGACAGTAAACGATCGATGAGTGTAAAAAGCAAGATCCCTGCGACGCCCCCGTCCACAAAGAAGCGCGTGCTGCCCTTCCCGACCTTGAATATGCACTATGTGCTCATGTACTTGGTACTTTGTCTGCGCACCAAGACGCTGAAGTTGGAAGGATATGACGCATTCAGTTTTACGATGTTCTTCCTGCGCATGCAATTTGAAAGCGATATTCATGCCAGTATCGTAGACCTGGCTACCATCTGTATCGAAGAGCTACTGGACGTGTTTCCCCGAGCTGAGTGGCGACGCGAGTGGGCACCGCAGCTTGTGCTCCGCATTGCTGGAGCGAACGAAGGTCTCTTTGATTCAGCCGCGGGCTGGCTTGCTGTTGCCCGTCGACTTCCACGCACTATGCGTGGCACACAACTCACTACGGGATTGGCAATCTACGTCCTGCAACATCGAATCGACAAAGATCCACAGGAAGGGGTACGTTAACCTGTTAGGCTTCATGAGTAATGCGCTATCGGTCGTTCTAATGCTTTATAATTGTGTGTAGGCAACGTCGGAAAAGCCTTTAAAGTTTCCGATTCAGAGTGGACTTGTGGTGGATATCGTGGCTGGCATTGTGGAGGACTTGACCCAGAAGTATGCCGAGACACGCAAGAGCAGCAAGGACTCGAAGAAAACGCCGCCATTTGATCTGCTGTGCAAGAAGGTCGCCCTGATGGACCTGGCACTGCAGGCGTTCCTGAATATTCTCACCGCAAAGGAAATTAAAATTATGCTGGGTAAGCTAGATCAGCTTGCTGACGCTCACAAGTCTACAATGTCGGCGAAATGGCACGAGCTCAAGACGTTGGTCAGTCTCATGCATCGCAAATACTCGCTGGAGAATTTGCGTATCGGCCGCGTCCGAAGTGCATCGCCGTCTGCGAAAACCGTGTTGGCGTTTAGTGACGATGAGTAGATATGCAACAAGGGATAGAGATTAACTGGACCTCGTTGAGTTTTATGTCGGTAGCACTAGTGCTGCTCTTGGACCAGTGCCGCATACTGTTTCTGCAATTTGACCTCAATGAGCTGCTGCGAGTTCACTTCGTTCGCCAAGCGTGCCATGCGAGTCTCCAGCGCCCGCGTCTCAAGACTCGACAGGTTCTCGAAGCATGCCTGCTCAATCGCAGTGTTCTGAAGCTCTGTCATCTGGTCGCGCAACAGCTCCAGACCCTGCTGAGCGCGGCGGTAAAACCCACCGTTAACAACTTTAGCACGTTCGTCCAGCTTTTGGGCACGCTTGGCAAGGAACTGCTCCGTTTCCTTGAGTTCAGCAAAGCGAGCTTGCACAGCACGCAGCTTGTCCTCGTCGGACGTAGAAAATTGGAAAGACACGCCGCTCTTTCCTTCGCCCTCAGCTTTGCTCAGATAGCGCGCTTGCACTTCGTCCCACTTCGTACCAAGAACTGAGGCGTCCTGGGACTTCCAGACGTCGTTCACTCCAAAAAGACTAGCCTCAATCTGCACCATTTGCCGAGCGCGCTTCATTTCGCTGTCAGAGAATTCTTGCAAGTTCGGGACTGCAACCGCATTCGACGATTTCTTGCGTTTCTTGCTCTTCTTGGTCTTGCCATCATCCACGGGGTATTTGACAACATCGTGCTCCAGCATTCGGTACATTTCGTCTGCCACCTCATTCACCTCGCTATGAATCAGAACTTTCTTCACCTTCGAAGGACGAGGGAGCCCATTCTGTACAGCTGTAGATCGTCGCTTAAGTTCACGTTCTCGTTCCAACTCGCGCTGCTGCTGCTCACGGACTTCTCGCTCGCCAGCGTCCTCTTCACGTCGATTAGAGGTACGATTATCGTCAACCTTTTCTTTCTCCGGGATGTTAATTTCATACTCGTTTTGAGGAGCAGGCAAGCTATCGAATCCCTTGCGTAGACTCGCAGCCAGTCGCTTTGTCCGAGCCTTCTCCGCCTTAGCATTTTCCGCCTCTGTGCCGTAAAGCTGTTCCGGGTTAATGCCTAGCTCGTCGCGCAGAGGTGTACGCCCAGCAGACATTGGCGTCTTTTCACTGACTACATTGGACATAGCAGATGACGGGGTCCGAGATGGGGTAGCTCCAGCATAGCCTGTTCCTTCGTAAAGCTCGACATTCTCTCCGCCTAAAAGAGGGGTCGTACTGTTTCGCATGGCGAGCAGATTCGCCGTTTCCTGCATAATATTCTCGTGCACGTCACGGCTAGAAGGCGTCGCTGTTGCACCTCCAGTGGTAGAACGCAGAGGAGTGGCACTGTAGTCCCCCATTAGCGCACGTGTCTCGGTAGCTGACCCATTTTCAAGAGCGAGAGCGGCTGCATGAGTGGCATGCATGCCCAGCTTCGCGAGATCGCTCAATTCGTCGTTAGAAACCACAGGAGCTGGCAACTCGAGCGGAGTTCGCTTGATCGCATTGATCGGGTCGTTTTTCTCATTCACCGCAGCGATGATCTGTGGCAAATTGGACTTCATAAGCGACTTCTGTCGCTTGGCATCCTGTTTGCGCTCCTTCTTCTCCTGAGCGTCACGACGCACGCCCTCGAGTTTGTCCAGCTGCAGAGCTGCACGCTTGGAGTCAAGTCCTTTACTTGAAATCTGCTTTTCCTCGGTAACGTCGTAAAATCCAGCAGGGGCTTTCTTCTCGAACGGAATCTCGCTGGAATAGTCGATGAACTTGCGTTTCTTCATGTTTACTCTCGGGTTGGACGACATGATACCGGCAGCCTTCAATTCGCGTTTCTTCTGCAATACAGCGAGACGCCTTGCCTCTTCCAACTGCTTCTCACGAGCCTTTCGCTTGGCTTTCTTGCCCTTGGTGTTTGCCAGACGAGCTCTGGCCTCGGACAGCATCTCCTTCTCGTCTTCGTCCATATCCACGGGATCGGGACGTGCAGGTTTGTTCTCTGGGTTGGGGTCGATCTCTCCAGGACGAAGACGTCTCGGATCGTCACTGACCTCGACGCCTTCTTTCTGTTGGGCTGCATCCAGTAGCCGCTCGTAGTGTTCCATGCATTGAGCGGCTGTACGGCCTACGATGGGGGCGATGGTACGCCACTGCGAGGGCATGAGCTTGGCCAGATGCAGCAGTTTTTCCTCCTCTTCGCGACTCCATTCGGTCTTCTTGATGCTCGGGTCCAGCCACTCATACCAGCGGGCCTTGCACTGCTTCGCTGACTTGCGCGACAGCAGCGACGCGACGCGCGCCCACTGGTTCATACCGTACTTCATCACGGCCGCCTTGAGGATCTCATCCTCCGTGTTCTTCCACACGCCGCCCTTGATCATGATCCGCATGGCCGTCACAGAGAGGGAGCGAGCCGAAGCACCGACAGAGAGCGAGATGCAGGAGCTTTTAGACTGGTGTTGGTTCCCAGTTAAACCTCGCCACACCACTCACACATAGTTGGTGTATGAGTGATGTGGCATGTACATTGAAGTTGTGTATCATCTGAGTACCATAATGGAGCAGCGAGGGCGGACGTTTGCGGCACAGCTGCAGTTCATGGAGCGTAATGGGCGCGCACTAGAGGAGCTGGTGGCCAAGATGATGAAAGCGCGAGAGGAGCAGGAGGCGTTCCTAGGGTCGTTTGCTAAGAGTCTTGAGGACATCGCGGCGCAGGAAGAATGTGAGCCGCTGGCACAATGTCTTGGGAGTCTGGGCGAGTGCGGTCAGAAATTGGTGAGCGAGAGCCACGACGTGATGATGCTGCGACCCGAGATGGAGGTTTTGCAGGTGGTTACACAGATTCAGGACTGGGCTATAGTACCCATGAAGGTGCGAAGCAGAAACTAGAGGGGTGCAGGCAGAGGAGGGATCTGACGGCAGAGTGATGCAGAGACTGTTGGAAGATCGGGAAAAGGCCATCAAAATTGAAGCCAAGCTGCAAAAGGAATACGATGAGCTGAGGGTACGTGACGATGTGATGATGCGAAGGACGTGGTGCTGACAGTTAATTGCAGCGAGGAAGCTCGGCTAAGGAAAAGGAGAAGAAGCTGAGGATGCTGTCGGACCAGAAGCGGCGAGTAGAGAACGTCAATGCCTTGCTGGACACACACATGGACAACTTCGACCGGTACCGCATTCAGAAGATGAAGGTGCGACCATTGGGTTTGATTTATGGGTTCGAATTAGGTTGACAATCTCATCAATGCCAATGCAGAAAATTGTGAGTGAGTTGGCTCGTTCGCAAGCATTTTACCATGCAAAAGGACTGGAGCTCTTCGCAGTTCCGTGTCAAGACATTGCGAAGCTCCAGTCGACGGATGCAGTCAAAAGAACACCACAATCTAACCCTGCAGAGCCAAGCAAGGTCGATCCGTGACAAGAACATACCTTTCAGGTGTGTGTTGTCCCAACAATCTTGGCTTGGTCCTTATCGTTGCCGCTCAAGTGTTATTGTGTACACTGCCGAACTGAAGCTATGATCCCGCCGATGAGCGCCCTCTTTCTCGTTCTTTTCTGCGTTTGCTATGACCAAGCTTTGCCATACTCTCCTGCAACTTTCTCCAGAACGAACCCTTCTCTCTTGGTGTGCACTGCGGACTATCAGTGCCGATGCCAAACTGCTGCCGTCGTGCAATACCAGGTGAGGCCGTCCAGCTCTGTGGGGAGTAACAGTAATCTTCCAGTAACTTGTCGCTGTAAAAGCATCGTTTCTAGAGCGCACAAGTTGAATTACGTGAGCCATTCATCCCTTAGTCGCATATTATGTTAGCTGGTAAGTACCCACCTCTTCGAATTTCTCGTACACCAAATGCACCGGGACATTTAAGTAATTTGCCAAGCCGAGCTGTAAACTGAGCAAAAGGAGAGTATCACAAGTTAGTACTTGACCCCGTTTTGGCTTACACAGCAACGGTGTTGGTACCTCATTTGAACTTGCTGAAGAGATATTTCTCGTCGAGAAAACGTCGGGGTCGCTTGTGACACAAACGATACGCCGTAGTCGGACTGAAAGCAAAGCAGGAATCCACCAATACCTTTAAATAAAACGTTTTGACTCAGGGGGATACAGCATCATGAACGTACCTGTGGCAAATGCGAGAACTTGACCGAGTGCTCATACATGTGCCGATAGACTGCGTCACTCAGAGATTCCAGCTCACTACCTCGCTCCTCACAGAGGTGTATTCTGTCGACGAACGATATCCACTTTATTGCAAGAAATACGTTGTCAAAATCAGCATAATACTCATATGCAAGCTTAAAACAACAGAAAAACTTACCTCAGCCATGGTCTCTTCCGCGGTGTATTTGTGAATGAAATGATGTTGAAGGAGTGTTTTTGCAGATGGGCGCTCGTCTGGGTCAATTGTTAGGCACTACAAATACACAGACGTCATCATTCGGGAAACGCATAGAAGGATTAACAGTACTTATCGAACCTGATTGATGAATGAGCGACATTCCTCGGAGAATGACTGTGCGGGTAATTTAAGACATTGTTCATTCGAAACCTGCAAGAGAAACAGCGGCGGTATCAGCTAAAAAAATCGTCAAATAAACAGCTTATCAACCAACAACTTACGGAATCAACCAAGCCAAAAAATCCATCCTGGGTTGGAAGTGGATAGCGACCCAATGCAACAGATATTAAGGCAAGCCCAAAGGACCAGATATCAGCTGGAAAATAAAGTAATAAAGAGTAGGTTAGCACAGTTTTCTTTCAGTAAGCGAACGCAAATATCGACCTTTATCTCACCTGGGTAGGAATAATCGCCACCGCCTATCCGTTCAGGGGCCATATACAGAAGAGTGCCCACGAAAGTTTTTGTTGAGGTGGAGTTATCATTCAGAGTGCGTGCCAAACCAAAATCCGAAATCTTGACTTCGCCTTGTCTGTTCGTAAGCAAGTTGTGCGGCTTGATATCGCGATGAACCATTCGCTTGTTGTGGATATGGGCTAATCCATGCAACACGCCAGTTGCTAGCCGCGCTAATACCTTTTCATTCTGACAGCCACCGCGCAAAACGATATCTTGTAGTGACCCCGTACTCATGTATTCCATGACCATGCAGATGGAATTCTTGGGACGATCGACAAATGCATCGTAGAAGGAGACGATGTAGGGACTGGGCCTGCCACACACCACACAGTAGTTTTCTTAGCTCACTGTGGTATCAGTTCACCAGTTACAACCTCGGGACGTACTTCGCTTTGGGATTGCTGGTGTTTTTCCGGGCAGCAGGATGTTTAGGCACCGGGTTATCATTATTTGCCATGGGTACAAGGTTTGAATAAAGCGCATGGAGTTCTCGGACCATTTGCCGACGCTGACCTCGCCCATACACGGGAACATCCTTCACCATGCAAAGAACATTACCAAAAGTGAGCAAAACGCACAAAATCTGTCCGTGCCAAGACACCCACTGACCTTGACGGCGACTACTTTCAATGTCGGGATGTGGATAGCCTTGTATACCACGCCAGAAGCTCCACGGCCGATCTCTTTTACACGCTCTAGGTTTTCTTGTAGATGGAGACACGCAGCATCAGGAGATGAAATGCCAGCCTCCGATATAGCAACGTTCCTGGTTGTGAACATGCCATGATTGGGAGAATAAGCACTTCCTGCACTATGTCGTCCGCCATCTTTACAGTTCAATTTCATATCATAGCGATGAAATAAAGCAAAAAGTTAGACCTAGAGCCAAAACCCATAAAACCCCAACAAAACGCACCGCTTGGAGATGGAAGATCCGTTTCTGAGCTGGAACTAAAATTCAATTTCATCATCGCCTGTTGAGCAGCACTAGGTCCATGTAGAGGGGTACTTGATCCCGAAGCTGCAGCTGCTGCAATCACAGCTGCTTCCATAGCATCTCGCTTCGCAATGAGTCGAGTTGCAGCTCGCTGAGCCCGCTCTTCGGCTTGCTGAGGAGTAGGCATGTCTTCCAGCTTAAGCCGTAACTGAGGACGCTTGCCACTACGACTACCTGGAGTTCTTTTCGCTGATTCAACACTTTTCCACTGAGGTGTCCGTGGAGTGGACACTGGAGGTGGCGTTCCTGGTGACGGTGACCATTCTGCCTTCTTTAGCGGTGATTGCGGCGTTTGTCGTTTCTCTTCAAGCGAAAGCTGGTTAGTCAGCGAGTTGATTTCCTTTTCCACCTCCGTCACCGTGTTGTTCACGTTTTTCACTGGATCATCAGGGGGCTGAGTCTGATGTAAACCATTGCTGCTAGATGTTATCGGAGTTGAAGGAGGGGTATCAACGCCTTTAATTGCTGTAAGTGGTGTCGAAGTCCATGATTCCGTAGCTGCTAGCAACAATTCTGGTTGTTGTGATAACGCTGCTTTGGGTTCAGGAGAGACTGGAAACTCCTTTTCCATCCACGGACACTCCCATGACTTAACTTCTGCAATCCGCAGCTCGCGTGGGCAAATATCGGGAAAGATTTGTGTGATCACTTCGTCGTCTGCCTAAAGAATTGCATTAAACACGGCGGTTAGTTAGAATACTTGCCCTAATTGCATCATTTGCATCCTCTGCACCTGTTCCGTTAGATTAGGTGCCGAATGTGGTCTGGACAGCTTGTCGTTGTGCACTAAAAACGTCCCATGACGCTGTGCTCGGCCCGCTCGCAGCACGATGGGGACAATGTTGTCTGTGTTAGAGAAGGACGAGCTGTTGGACTCCACTGTAGTGTTGGCCACCGATGGGTCTCGTCCTTCGTAAGGTCGCTGATCATAGCTGGCACTCTCCACGCGTCCGCGTTTGTGGAAACGCTCCATAAGCGTCTGACGCGAGATCTCCTGAATAGAACCATCCAGCAGGTCACGCCGGTGGCTGGTTGTTGTGCTAGATGAGTTGCTGTTACTGCTGACCGCGGCAGAAGCGGGCGGTGATGTCTCGCGCGCAGCAGCGGGTTTGGACACATGCCGATACTTCTTCTTGCTGTTGTTATGCTGCTCCGGCATGGCGCTCGTCCTGCCCAGCGTGGCGAAGCTCAACGATGTGTACCTCTCCCTTTAGAAATCCTAGAACGGTTTTAACGTTAAAACGTTAAAACCGTTTTAAAGTGGTGACGGAAGAAGAGCAATTTCATGGTAAACTGTCGTTACGTTTATATAGCATCTTCAACTTTTCTGCAGGATTTAATCCGCTTCTACATGACTACATTGTAGTTCGAGCTAGTCGGCATGACAAATACACAGCCCCTCTCAGTGGAAGGTAGATACGTGTCATTCACATTGTATTTATCACTGCGAGAACCGACTGACTCATAGATTGGCCAAAGAGAAATATGAGACCTGGAAGCAATTTTTGGTGTATAAATATAGCTGGAGGTCTCCAATCACGACCAAGTGTGGAACGGCTTAACACTCGCTGTTTCCCTTTTTAGTCTGTGCAGCTCAGTACTGTCAAGACCATAATTCTTAGGACAATCTTTAGCATGACTCTACGCAAACAGCACTTAAATTGTTCCTCAAACGCCTTCAAAACAAGATTCAGCTTACTGGGAATACCTTTAGGTTTGAACAGCCCTCAGCGGATTAATTCCACGGTATTGCGTAACTTGCTCGATGTTATCTCGCTCAACATTCAGCTGACCTCAAGATGTAAGCTGAACGTTGAGGTAAAGCATTGGCGTTGTGTGCGTGTAGAAGTCTAATTTGCTTGGACTTGCGAGGTCTTAACATCTGCCGTGCATCCAGCGGGGGCATTTCGTGAGCCAAAGGAGAACAGTGGCTTCTAAAGGTTATTTCATAGTATTAGAAACATTACCGGATTAAAATAGCCCGGAAGGCAGCCTAAACGCAGATTATCAAAGATCCATGAGGAAGTACCTAGAAAAAGCTAGTAGATAGATTCTTTTTGTGGAATCCGTTCATCCTTGCATTTCTTTCTGTCGGTCAGTTTATCCATACAGATTGTATCGCACCGCGAGCCGTTGAAGCCCGTGAAGCAAGCATTGATACTCAAAGATCAATACTTAAGTACAAGGCCGCCTCAAAGTATGGTCTACTTGCAGTCGCCCTAGATTCACCTCACAATTAATAGCAAAATGGTTCGAAGTGGCAATTTGAGATTACAAATATTTTAGCTACAACCCAACATTTCTAAAACTACACGATTTGACCGATTTCGCCGCTTCATTTGCGGTTGGTTCAGCCCGTGAGAAACCTACGAGAGCTTGCTAAAATGTACAGCAGTAAAGACTTTATGTACGTACTGGGGTTGCCCCTCGATTGAAGTTTGGGGCTTGCGCTGCATGTCAAAAGCTGCTGGACTGTCGGTCTTCAAGGTGTGTGGCTAATTGGAGGCCTTTTTTTTCCTCTTTTATTTAGTTTGTTTCCCATAGTACCAGAACATGCTGTTGTTGTCCATCGGTCCGCTAGTATCTAAGTGGAGCCTGCAAGAATAAGGGTTCTACTAATAACAGATAATGACTAGGCACGTGATTAAATCTCTGCTAGGATATCTCGTTACGTAAAAAGAAGTATATTCCCGGCATCGATCTAGTTGAAGGCATTTGAGGAGATATTTCGCAATAAATAATAGTGTATGGATTGCTGGAGGCACCGTAGAAGGTATGCATGTGGTACAGTGTACCAGTATCGAAATTACGTTTAAGTACGAACTCTGGCCTTTGAGGAAGAAACCATTCACAATCGAGGTTGCCAAAGCGAGAGCCAACCTGATCGCGATCGCGATGGACGAGGAGATGAAGAGCGAAACGCAGGTGGCGCCGGCCGCGGGCACGAGCGAGGAGAAGCGCTTCGAGATCAAGAAGTGGAACGCTGTGGCACTCTGGTCCTGGGGTGAGCGCGCCGTGACACTTTGCAGTCGAGATCTTTCAAGCAACTAATTATTCATGTATTACTACGCAGACATCGTTGTGGACAACTGCGCTATTTGCCGCAATCACATTATGGACCTATGCATCGAATGCCAGGCCAACCAAGCGTCGGCCACCAGCGAGGAGTGTACGGTGGCCTGGGGTGTCTGCAGTACGTCCGCGCTGCTGCTGTATCTGGGTTGATACGAACCATTTACTAGATATTTTTATTGTTCGTTGTAGACCACGCCTTCCACTTTCACTGCATTTCTCGGTGGCTCAAGACTCGCCAGGTGTGTCCGCTGGACAACCGCGAGTGGGAGTTTCAGAAGTACGGTAGATAACTGGAGCCAACGCTGGAGTGAGCTCAAGAGATGCGGATCGCTTGTGTATCTGCTGGCGACGGCAACTGCGTCGAAGTACTGTAGAAGCACATTGTGGTGTGGAGTTGGCCACACAGCTCGAGAGAGAAGAAAGAGCTTCCAAGGCGTGGTTTTAGCTATTTGAGTACGTTCTTTCTCTCATTAACTTCTTTACTAACGTTTTATCAGCGAATTCTGAGTTGACATTCACACCACGCGAATCGGTTTATGGGCTATTGAATGCCTAACGATCGAAGCTTCTTGTCTTCGAGAATACATAAGTTCAAAAGTACGTTTACGTCCAGAGGGAGAGCACTCCCATGGCTCCGTAGCCAGCGAGCAGAGCAGAGCACTTCTCAATCTGGTATCGAGGGTCTTGCAGCTCTTGGGGGATGATTTCCATGATGGCAACGAACAGGAAGGTGCCACCAGCGAATGCAGCACAGACACCACCGGCAGGCGTCGCATGGTTAGTATCAACCAGTAATCGGCCGAACAAAATGCCTGTAGGTGTCATAAGCGAGAAGATTGCAACGGTGGATAGAAGCTGCTTCCGCGAGACATTGTGGTGTAGAAACTCGAGCGCAAGTGCGAACGCCGCCAGCGACTTGTGAGCCAGTATGGCGACGAGGATATCCCAAGCCGCACTGCTCGAGGCTCCCATGCCCATACCTTCCATCACTGAGTGGAAAGACAGAGCGATGAACACGACAAGCGCCAGGATAGGGTTGCCCTTGACAATGCCGTGAATGTGCGAGTGTGGCTCCTCCTTGTCGTCTTCTGCGTGGAGAGTTAGCTCAGTACTCGCTCCTTGGGTACCGTAATCTCCAGTCTCTAGTTGGCCGTGCGAGTGACCGTGAGCGTGACCGTGTGAGTGACCATTAGTCTTGGCTAGATTGTTCACCTCGGTGGCTCGCGTACCATCGAGTGTGAGCAGCGCATCGTGTTCTTGCTGTCTGTGCCCATTTTGCACCTTACTGTAGTGCCGTTGCAGTGTGTGTGCGAGCACCTCAATGAGCAGCACCATGAGGAAGCCGCAGCCGTAGAAGAAGTTGGCCCACTTGAAGCAACGCTTGTTATCACCGTCGTAGCGAGTACGCACGGCCAGGAAGACCTCGGCAGTGTGCTCGCAGCCCCACTCCGTGAGAGCTGCGTTGTTCTGCGCGTCCGGTAGTAGATGCATGCACGAGCTAGCGAGAAAAATGCCGGCCGCCACCATGTTCAGTATGCTACTGGCGCGCTTGCTCACGCGCTGGCTGCTCAGCAATGGCGCAATGCCGCCGATAAGTCCCAGCGCCCAAATAAAGAGTGCTGCAGCCAGTTTGAATTTATCCACAGAGTCCATCGCTTGAGCAGGTTGTGCAGAGGATGTCAGCGTCTTTTACGGAAAATCGCAGAGTGAAGAGCTGTGTACAGCGCTGGGCTTCCTCGCTCGTGAGTCCGCATTATTCAGCTTATCCGACGGCGGACCAATGCGTGGATGTGCGAAAAACTTAGTGTTGTACACATAGTTCCAGTACTTGTATAGTGTCTTGCAGGCAAAAACGTTTGACTATTGAAATTCTTATGGACTATCAGTTTAGTTTTTTTTGTGGCAAGAATATGTTATCCGTTTAGCAAGGTTTATCATTAAGATAGAATTGTCCGAAGGCGGGAGGCACCTTCTGTCTGGTTGGCAAACGACGCATGGGAGCACAAGGTCGGTCTTGTTACCTGTATTTGCTAACGTGGACAGCGTATACACGCGGTTTTGAAGTGCTCGATTAATGATGTGTTGCTGCTGCATCAGCATCCAGCAGGCTGCTGAGAAGCCGGTGGAAGCACGCGTCTGCAGTGCCAGATACGGGCTCGGATTCGCTGTCCGTGAACAAGATCAAGGTCGTCATACTGGGCGAGCCAGATGTGGGCAAGTCAACCCTCTTCAGACGCTGGATGGGATCTCCGCTCGACGTCAACTACGTGCCGTCTACAACGGGTGAGCAAGCGAGGCTGTTCTGTGTAATTAAACACTGATTTATGAGCATCCAACAACAACTCGTCGATTAGCTAGCGTAGGTGCCAAGCTGCTTCGACTGGAGGGAAGCGAGCCAGTAGTTTTTGAAGTGCGTCCTTGACATATTTACTTAATGGTGACGAAATCATATCATGTTGACAGGTTGGTGTTCGCAGCTATGGGACGTGCCTCCGCAGAGTTATGCCGGTTCAGGCATCTTTGCGCGCTACTTTCGCGGTGCCCAGGCAGTAGTGCTGGTTTTCAGTTTGCAGAGGCCAGCTTCGTGGCGAGCACTGCCCACGTACCTTGACGTCGCCCGTCGAGAGATCGCCGCGATCGAGACGATTGCACCTGAATCAGGGACGTCGTTGCCGGTTTTGATGGTCGGCAACAAACGCGACTGCATCGACAAAGATACCCAACAAGAGCACGACGCAGCTCGCTCGTGGTGTCGTGATCATGGCGTTGCCTACATTGAGATGTCAGCGCTTTCTGGGGACTCGAGCACCGTGCTCAACGTCCTGAAGCTTCTCGCCTCGACTAGCAATCCCTCTTCAAGCTGATTCCTCCTGCATCGTAACCGAGCGAGTTTTTTTCTGAAGTCAACTCGGTATGTGGAAACACTATTTTGTGGTACACATATTATGCAACACAATCGCCACGTCACATGGCCGTTTGCGCATCGTTGATTGTTGCTCCAATGTAGCGCTAATTCGAGGACGCGTCTCCACTGCAAGAAGTTTCTTGTTTCTTATTTCCTGAGCGGCTCACATTGCCCACGTAGTTTCGGTGCCACTAGCGCACTCTTAGTTTCACCTGCAACACCACAGTACATACCATGGTGCACTACCGTAGTACGCGCGGCGGCGTTCGCGGCCTCAGCTTCGAACAGGCGGTGCTAACCGGCCTGGCATCTGATCGCGGCCTACTAGTGCCTGAGGTCAACGAGTTTCCGACGCTTCCGGCCGATGCGCTCGAGAAGTGGGCGTCGCTTTCGTACCAGGAATTGGCCGTAGAGGTCATGCACCTCTTCATCGATGAGAGCGAGATCTCGCGCGACCAGCTACGTCAGCTCGTGGCGAAGAGCTACAACTCGACCACGTTCCGCGCCGAGGAAGTGGCGCCCGTGGTCAAGGTGACGGACCAGATGCTGGTGCTTGAGCTCTTCCATGGCCCCACGTTCGCCTTCAAGGACATCGCGCTGCAGTTCCTTGGCAATCTCTTCGAGTTCTTTCTGAAGCGCAAGAACGAGGCGCTGCCCGCTGGCGCATCCAAGCACCAGATCACTGTCGTAGGCGCCACTTCTGGTGACACCGGAAGCTCCGCCATCTATGGCCTGCGCGGCAAGGAGAACGTCGAGGTGTTCATCCTCTTCCCCGAGGGCCGCGTGAGCGCCATCCAGCAACGCCAGATGACCACTGTGTTGGACCAGAACATTCACAACGTGGCCGTTAAGGGCACGTTCGACGACTGCCAGGCTATCGTCAAGGACCTTTTTGCCAACGCTGATTTCAAGGCCAAGTACAACCTGGGAGCCGTCAACTCCATCAACTTTGCTCGTATCCTGGCACAAATCGTGTACTACGTGTGGGCGTACTTCCGTGCTCGCGAGCAGGGCGTGAGCGGTGAGGTTGCCTTCTCCGTCCCCACTGGTAACTTCGGAGACATCCTTGCCGGCTTCTACGCCAAGAAGCTCGGCGTTCCTATTGGCAAGCTGATCGTGGCCACTAACGAGAACGACATCCTTCACCGCTTCTTCTCCACGGGTAAGTACCACCGCCGCGACATTGAGCACACGATCTCGCCGTCCATGGACATCTGTGTGTCAAGCAACTTCGAGCGCTATCTCTTCGCTCTGTCCGGCGAGAATCACGACATTCTGCGCGGCTGGATGCAGGGCTTTGAGCAGACTGGTGAGCTCACGATCTCAGGTGAGCTACTCACCAAGGCGCAGGACGAGATGGCGTCGTACGCCGTGCTCCAGGAGGAGGTGCGCTCCACTATTGCCGAGTACAAGAAGGTGCACCAGCACCTCTTCGACCCGCACAGCGCTATTGGTGCTGCAGCTGCCATGCACTTTGGCCAGGATAACCTTGCTGACAAGCCCAACTCTGCGGTGGTAGTCGTTGGCACTGCCCACTACGGCAAGTTCCTTCCTGTGGTGTCCAAGGCGCTTGGTGTCGATGAGTCGGAGATCCAGCAACACCCAATCCTCAAGGCGCTGGAATCGCTGCCCACCCGGCTATCGGTAGCCAAAAACTCGAGTGCTACGGTGGCCGAGCACATTCGCAAGACTATCGCGATAAAGAACCAGAAGGCCTGCAGTAACTGCTTCAGTCTGTGGACGTCGGCCCCCACCGAGTGTAAGCTCGCCACCTTAGCACTTGCTGCTGCGACCGTCGCTGCTGCGTTCTTCGTGGCTCGACGCTCGAAGTAAACAGCTACGTAAGGATGGCGGTCAATACGATAGTCTTAGCAGACTTTAATCCGTAGTGTTCATTATGCGAGGGCAGCTTTCATAGAGAAAAAAACAAGAAATCATGCCTGTCTTGACGCATGAACAATAACTTATCGCGATGGTAATTTATGTAGGACCAAGCAAGCTGAAACACGTGAACGTGACCACGACCTTAAACGCTTAGTTACTGAATGATTGAGTGGATCTGCTTCTATTGGACCTGGACACTTCCTTATCTTCATTTGTTGCGAGTGAATCACATACTCGGTTTTGTCGTGTCCGAGGTCAGCATGCAGACCGCAATAGCTAAAAAGAGAATAGACTGCCCGTAACCTGATGACCACAAGGCAAGTCGTTAAGCATCTACAATATAGTGCAGTCACTTACACATACACCACACTGCGGCGTCTGATTCTGTGCGAGAAATGCCTTCTGATGCTGTTTCTGAAGACTCTCGCGTGTGACAGTGACGACACTCGGAATTCCGCTCTTGGACCCATTAGAAGGCGTTCGGAAGCTCTGCTGAGAGGGTTTTGCAGGCTCTTTGGGCGCAAATGAGATGCGTTCCTTGGTATATTGGTTCTCGTACGAATATTCACCCGGTCTGGTTCTTGATAACACACGTCTCCATCCTGGGGGTAACCGCGCGATTTTCTTCGGTTCAGTCGGTGACAATAGACGCCCAACCGGGACAATGAGCTTCTTGAAGGCGTCCACGACGTTTGTCGCGTCCAATGCCGATGTTTCGAGGAACTCCATTGAGTGTTTCGCTGCGAACCTCGCGGCTTCAAGTGTCGACACTTCTCTACTCTCCGGCAAATGGGCGAGATCGCATTTGTTCCCCACGAGGATCAGCACGAGACTCTCATGCGAATGCTCGTGCACCTGAGCTAGCCACCCAGTAACATGCTCGAAGGAGCTGCGGTTTGTGATGTCGTAGACGATCATGGCGCCCACAGCATTGCGATAATAGGCAGCAGTGAGGGACTGGAATCGTTCCTGTCCTGCGGTATCCCAGATCTGTGCTCTAAGTCGTCGGTCCCCTACGCGGATGGTCTTGGTGGCAAACTCGAAGCCCACCGTCTGCACGCTCTGTGGCATGTACTTGTTCTTGGTGAAGCGCATGACGAGATTGGACTTGCCTACGCCCGAATCGCCGATGAGAACAACCTTGAGAATGGATTCGGCCATTGGCGACGATGCCGGGGACGAACAACGCGGGCTGTTGGAGGCCGACATGGACGATCCGGTGACCGAGGCTTGGCTAGTGGAACCTTTGACAGCTGGGCTGAACTGTGTGGAGCTGATAGATCGCCGCATGTCGTTTTGGCGGAAAACCTGATGCTGGGCCACCTCCTTGGCCGAGATGTATTGCTGCAATGAGTTGCTGTTATCGACAGAGGACGACGATGTCGTTGCGGGAGATGCTGGCAGCTCGCGCTTGCTGCCCGTGGTCATAGTGAAGAGGCGACTAGTGACAGGGAACAGTTAAGATCGGGTGTGGCGCTGCTTCTTGCAGACGTTTGCGACGCCTTGGCAGAGAGAGCCACTTGAAGCGCGCGGAGAAACTTTCGGGACCGAGGAGAGTCGGTTATGCAGTTTCCAGGGCGGAACATGAAGAGAGTATAGGATTCGACGGAGAGGAGCAAGAATGATTTGGTCCTTCTTACAGAAATATGCATTGTATGTGAGAATGGATATGTGGAATTCATTTATTATTGAAGGTTATGTGGGTTGGACAGATATGGATGCATTGCTGCAATTGTCATTGTCAATATGGCTGCACTTCAAAGAACCTTGAGCCTCGATCGATGAGTTGCTTAATATTTCGGCAGAGGAGAAGCATAGCTTCAGATATGTAGCATCAGCTACACGCAGCTACTAGTATTCCATCTTTGCACTAGCTTGATTTTTTGGGAAGGAATGAAGATTCTTCATGTACTTCTGAGTAAGTAATTTTATCTCGAAGCTCTAGGATACAAGTATCCATACTTGCTAGAATTCTATCCTGACAATATCCCATCCATTGAGATGGCTGCTAAGGGCAAGAGGAAACTTTCATCGGATGCAGACAGCTCTCTCAACGCCAGGCGAGCCACCATAGTTAAACTTACATTTTAAAGTGTAATAAAGTACGCTACATTTAACGTATAATACCGAATAGTACTCGGCGTTCTATTGTTGTATAACACCGTCCGAAGCCAAGTGCGGTGTTATATTTGATGGGCGTTTTATTAGGACCGAGGTTTATTTGATTTGCTCACAAACAGTAGAATCGGATATGAACCATCAATGCCAGCAGATGTATTCAGTTGTTACGAGCTAAAGATACTTGAATCTTCTACTCATCGATCACAATCTCGTCGAGGGTGTCACACAACTCATCAAAAGTGCTGTTAGTTTCGTTCTCGATACTGGAGGCAGAGCTCGCATCGCTGCGGCTGCCCCAGGCAGCATTGAACTGCGAGCCGTACACGTCGTGGTTACTGATAAACCAGTCGCTCGAGTCTTCAAAGAAGCCACACTTACCCACACTCCGCTGCACGACACTGTCCGGAACCTGACGCCAAGCTGTGGTCACCCACGACACGACCACTTCTATCGAAGGAGGGCGAGGATTTCCACCACGAGTGTAAGTCACCTGGTCTGAGCGCTTCCACGCATCGATGAGCACGGACATCTTGTCTTTGAAAGACTTGAATATGCTCACATCGCCAGCCTGGAGATACGGCGTCAGACCACCAGGAACCACAGCCATCTTGATCTCCTTCTCCTCGCATCGAGCCTTCACCTTCTTGCCGATATGGGCTCGCATAGAGTCGCATACCACCCACTGCCCCGGAGTTTGCGTTACTTGCGGGAAATACCACTCCAACCACTGCAGGAGAAGTTCTTGATCGACCCAAGCCCTGGGCTGAAACGAAACGTAGCACCCTCCAAGACGCTCAATCGGGCCACGCGTCTTTCGCTTCCAGATCAGGCACGGAGGCAGCTTCTTTCCGGACGCAGTCACTGCAAACGCAGCCGTAATCCGCATTGAAGCGAAGCCCGTGGAGTGGATGACCACATGGCGGCGTCCAACAACGTCTACAGTGCGATCTCGTGGGTCCTCGAAGTAGATAGCCGTTTCGTCCATTAACACGGTGTGATCGAGATTCATCTCACCCTTGTGCGTCTCCAAGAAGCCCATGAAAGACACAGCGCGGCGCACCAACTCCTCGTCGGTTAGTGTAGTGAGATTGGTGCGACGACGGAGGCTGAAACCATTGCGCTGCATGAACGAAGACACCCACGGATCGGATGCCGTGAAGCGAATCGGGTGCTCCTCAGCTTCCTCTTCCGTCCTGCTGCTGTGAAAAAGTTCACGGGCTTGAGCTGCTATCCATTCACGGGTCACCTTCTCCTTGCTGATGCGCAGATCGTAGATCATGTCGACGAGAGTGTCCTCCAGTTCACCCAACACCGGACGTCGCCCTCCACCTTCAAGACGACGACGACTGCCAGCCGCTGCAAGAATCTCGTCACGCTTGCGCCACCACTCTCTGAAGCATGCTGCCGAGATACGCCATCCACGCTGTCGGAAGTGAGCTTCAGCCCGAGATGGAACACCACCTCCCTCTGTGGCAATCCAATCCAGGGCTTGCTTCTTGATACTGAGTTCAACGCTCTTTCTTCTCGCTGGCATCTTGGAGAATGAGCTACGATTAAGTGTTCTGGAGTTCGGCCTAGGTGTGAGTGGAGGAGCATTGTCCAACTTGGCGCAAGTGCCAAAAATTCAAGGAATCAAGTTTTCTGCTGCTTTCCTGCGCAACAGCAACGCTAGAATCAGCTCTTTGTGAGCGACGGTGGTCTATTCTAGGGCGTTCTATTTGATGGTGTTGTATTTCTAGTAGAACACCCTGAGTTAGGGCGTTCAATTCATACCGCGTTCTATTGCTTTACCGCGTTCTATTCGGTATTATACGTTATTTTAGATCCTGCATTTTGAGATTTTACAAAAACACGGTATATATTCAGCTACTTAGACGTTAATTTACAAACAACTTTTTTTTTTTTTTTTTTTTTAAATTACGGCACCAAAACACCGCGAAAACAGGTATAACAATAATGGAGTTCCTTGTGCCGCTGCACGCGGCGGACTTGGAGCTAGCCAAGGCGGGTCGCTACCACGTGCAGTCGGTGCTGACGTTCGAAGACGAGACACCGGCGGAGATCTCGGTGCGCGTACAGCGGCTGGAGGATCAGGTATTGGGCAGCGAGGCGGGACTGGAGCTATTGCAGGAAGACTGGCTGGACTTGACGTACAGTCTCGTCAAGAAGCTGCCGACGCTCTCGGAGTCTCTGCGTATGCGTGTGGTGGAGATGCTGGCGGCCTTTGTGAGTAACGTGACGGAGGGTGTGCTTGCCAGACGCCCCGGCAGCGACGATGCGGACGACGTGGCATTATACCGTAGCACCTTCAAAGCCAGCGTCTACTTCCTCATAACAGCACTCACGAGTGTCAGCAGTCTTCAACTACAGGCAGAGAAGGATATTATCAAGCACAAGGGCAAGGGAAAGAATCAGAACTCGACTATTAACCGCATCAACTGGAGCAAAGTGGTGGAAGGAGCCATCCACAAACTCAGTCGCTCTGTCAGTCCCAAGACGTTCTCTATGTGGAATATGAACGTGCCTGAGGAGGTAAGAGAGGAGAAAGCGATGGAAATCTTTGAATTACTGACATTTTCTTGCTATTTTGGGGCAGGAATTCTCCATGTTATATTGTAAAGTGGTCTTCGAGCTGCTGGGTAACGCTACACTTTGTCGCGGGAAGTCACTCAAGCCCAAACTTTACCACGTACGTTAAATAGTTTGGTTCTTATTGTAGAAATTGACCGTATAAACTGATATTTCTTGCTGTAGCTTCTGGCTATGAGTTTACAGAAGGCTCCAGCTATCCACATTTCCGTGGTGGCGTCTCTCATCGACCTCATCTACACACACGAACACTTGAGTGCCTCTATCGCGGAACTTGTTGAGTTACTTTACTTTAAGTATGCCAATATGACATTCGCGGCGGATCTCATCAGTGAGATCGGGAAAATCTCGTCACGGGACGCATCCAAGGACGTGGCTGGAACACGAAACATCGCCATGTTCCTTTCGAGTCTGTCGACGCTTACACCTGCTTTGATTATGGGCAACTTGAGTTTCGTGCTGGCCTTGCTGGACTCGGAAGCCTATCAACTCCGCAATGCTGCGGTGACGTGTGTGACTCAGATTCTGCTCTGGAATTTCCGTCAAAGCGGCCAGCAACAAGAGACTGACGAGCCTGAAGCTGCTACTGCGTCGAGGAAGAAGACGAGGAAGCACAGGAAGATGGACCAAGAGACCAAGAACGACGGCTCAGGCACTGACGATAGTAGCGAGGAGGACGACGGCAGCAGCAGTGACTCGAATGACGAAGAAGAAGACATTGGGAAGGCCAATGCGAATGCTCCACGTACATTCTCCCGCTCCACACGCGACCAGTTGCTCAGTGTACTGGAAGATCGCACCCACGACGTCAATTCCTTCGCTCGAGGCCACGTGCTTAAGATGTGGGCTCTGTTGTGCGAGGAAGGAGCTCTGCCGCTGCATATGCTCAAGAACGTGACGTTGATGGCTGTCGGACGGCTACAGGACAAGGCGGCGGTGGTGCGTCGTCATAGCATCCACTTACTGTCCTTGTTACTGGAAAGGAACCCGTTTATGGGCAATCTGGACCGTGGATTCTACGAAAAGAAGCGGGATGAGCTTACAGAGGAGATGAAGAAGAAGCGAGACGAAGTGATTGCTGGTGCAGAGAAGGAAATGAACGAAGCGTTGGGGGAGATTGCCATCCAGGGAGAGGACAAGGCTGCTTCTGCATCCCCTCAACCGACGGTCTCATCAGAAGAGCAAGCGGTTGCACTGGAGAAGGAGCTACAGAGGACGATGCGTCTGCTCAAGTTTTACCAGGACGCTATTGACTTTATTGACGAGTTCGAGTTGCAAGCTTTGCCTCTGATGGGTCAACTACTGGGCAGTAAGTCCATTTCTGATGTGCTGGAGGCCATCCAGTTCTTTGAAAAAGCCTACCGCTTCCATCTTGGCGCTGCTCAGACCGGAATCAAGAAGGTTTTGCCCTTGACGTGGCGCTCTGACGTGTCCATCCAGGAGCAGCTGTCCAATACTTTCGTGGGTCTGTTTATTCGCATCGATGTGGACGATCCAGAGCGGAACTCGCCTCAATTAGTAGCTGAAAACCTCGTCAAGTTCTTGGATGAATGCACCGTCGCTGAGTACACGTGTCTGGAGCGGATCATGGGGGAACTACATCGCAGTCAGAAGGTGCCGATGGTGGTCATCAGCTCACTGTGGGGACTGGTGGACGTGACTGTGTACCCGATTTCAGTGGTGAGCAACGCACTGGTTCTTTTGAGTATGATCGCTAATATCGATGACTCGATGCTCTTCTCCAACGATCGTCTCGGTCAAGTTCTCTCGATGGGCTTTGGTGATGTGGCATGCAGTCCAGCGTCTCAGTATCGCGTCCTTGGGGCGGCCTGTCGTCTGGTGCAATGTATTCAGTTGGAGCCTAAGAATGCGACGGCCAAGAGCAACAGTCAGACCCAGCGACGCATCCAACGTTCCAATCTAGACGCGACAGAGCAGATTATCCTACGCTTGCAGCGGTTCCTTGCTCTGGATTTTGTGAGTGACGACGGGATTGAGGTGGAGTGTCTGCACTCCACATGGTTTGACACTGTACAGCAAGCAATCGAGGCCATTTTCTCGATTTGTGAGCGTCCAGAAGACGTTTGTGGCGATGTGATCAAGCACTTGTCGCTGCGTTTGTTCGAGAGCGAGACGAATGATGTGTCCCGAGTGGAGCTGGCCCACTTTTTCTTCGTGTTGGGCCACTCGGCTGTAAAGGTAGCCATCCACGTGGAGAAGCTGGCTGCTAAAGTCAAGAAGATGCGTGGCAATCGCAGTGCTGCTGCGAGACCTGCCGAGAATTCAGGTTTAAATGACGCTGAAGACGTGTCTGCCATGGAGGATGAGCTAGGGGTGGCTGCAGAGGTGGAGGCCGAGGAAGACACGTTTGTCAACAATATCATCCAAAAGGAGATCGCCTGCCGCAATCTGCTTGGAATGTATGGTCCACTGATCATCCGTGTGTTGGTGGGCAATGAAGAAGAGTTCATGAGTGACGAGCTACTGACGGAGTGTGCAGTGGTGGCGCTGAGCAAGTTTATGGCTGTGTCGGAGGAGTTCTGTGAGAAGCATTTGCAGTTGTTGTTTACCATCCTACAGGACTCGCCGCAACCTTCAGTCCGAGGCGACGTCATCATTGCACTAGGTGATCTCTCGTTTCGATTCCCGAACCTGGTGGAGCCCTGGACGTCACATCTGTACAATCGTCTGCGAGATGTCAACCTCAACGTCCGCAAGAACACAATCGTTGTGCTCTCTCACCTCATTCTGAACGACATGATCAAGGTAAAAGGTCAGATCAGCGAGATTGCCATCTCATTGGTGGACGAAAACGACGGCATTCGAAGTCTGGCCAAGCTTTTCTTCTTCGAACTGTCTAAGAAAGGCAACAACCCCATTTACAACATGCTCCCAGACGCAATTGGCCAGTTGTCTACAAGGTACGACCAATTGTGCCATTGTCTGCTTGACTACCTTGTGACTTTACTTACATCTGATGAATTTATTGTAGTGAACTGGTCTCGAACTCAGACTTCCAGACGATTTCACGCTTCCTGATCCAGTTCATCACGAAGGAAAAGCAGATTGAGAGTATTGTAGAGAAGCTATCGCAGCGGTTCCCGACGGCAGCAAAGGCGCAGCAGCAGCGTGATCTGGCCTATTGCTTGGCGCGTCTGCCGCACACTGAAAAGTCCCTCAAGTATCTGTACCAAAACCGCAAACTTTACAGCGATGCGCTTCATGATAGTGCAGTGGCTGACAACTTCACGTCGTTGATTGCAAAAGCAAGACGAGGCAACAGTGCACTCACAGCCACAGCGGAGATGAAGGAAGCGATCGACAAACTGGACCAATTTGTGGTTGGAACAAAAGAAGGAAAGGAAGAAGATGAAACGATGAACGGAGAATCAACGGACAGAGGTTCGTCGCCCAAGGGCAAAGCCAAGCGTAAACTCTCCGCTAAAGCTGCGAAGGCTACGCGAGTGACGTCCAAGAAGAGAGAACGAGCCAAGCGAAAGACTCGTAAGCAGAAAGCGACACGTGCCGTGAGCGAGGAATCGTCGGAAGAAGAGTAGGAATTAACTTGTCGTGAATATTCACTGCGTGCTGATTCGGATATGATAAGCTCAAGTAGATACCTCCAATAGATAAGGAGTTTAGCCTGAAAGAGGCTGCCGTTCAGCCGCCATCAAGCTCGTGCAGGCAGTCAAGACGCGAAGAACTTCGTCCGGGTCCTCTAGATAATACTGCGCGCGACTGACTTTCATCCCCACTGTGCACGTGTAACAGTTGCTTCCTTGGACAACATCGAACATATCTTCGTCTGTGCGTTCATCGCCCAGCGCCAGAATGAAATCAAAGTCCAGCGCTGTAAAGTACGGTGTCTCACTCTCGTACTCGAGAATGCGACTCACAGCGCGGCCTTTGTTCACACGCCACGGTCGAATCATGACGTACTTCTTGATCCGACACATGACCACACCGACTGGCAGATCTCGCAGCATCTGGTCGAAATGGAGCTGCATGTCCTTCGCCTGCTTCAGTCCAAAGGTGGGGTCGGCGTCTCGAAAGTGCCACGTGTAGCAGCAATCCTTCACGTCCAGTAGGGAACCAGGAGTGCGCTCTGTGAAGTGTTCCAAGATACTCTCCACTTCATCCCTCCACTCCAACTCAACGTCACTGAACATACATTGCCATGGAGCTCTTTCCCGGATCGCACTCTCACTACCAATGACGGAAGAAGAGGAACTGGCCAGCGGGTTTTCTTCAGTGGATAAGGTCGATTCAGCCGTGTGTGGTGAGTCTTCACTGGTTCTACCTGTCAGGATATCCCCACCACTATCAGTATTGGGCTTAAACGGGTGTTTGGAGGCAGGACGGAACCAATAGCCATGCTCTGCAGCCAGTCCGACTCGCGGTAAGTGACCAAACCATTCCTATTAAGCAAACAACTCGTTAAGTGAGCCACAAAACTGTATAGCATCAACGCAAGAGGAAGCAGTACCTGTAAGCGGTTCTTGTTCCTTCCACTGATGATGTATACAGTGTTATGAGGGTCGGCAGTCAAATCTTCCAGACACGACATCAAGGCTGCAGAAGGCTCGGCCAGTTCCTCCATGCTCTGATAGTTCACAAGTGTTCCATCATAGTCGAGCAAGAATAAACGTCGCTGGCTTCGCTCGTAGTACCCGAGCAGTTGTGCCGTATCCAGTTTATCCAGACGGTTGTACTCTTGCGCAGTAGCGGCAGCCTGCGTCCAGGTAAAAAGCACGCATGGTTAACTCTCGGTCGACATCATGTCAAACACAATTAACTCACCTCGTTCAGGGCTGACATGATTCGTTGAGCCCACAGCGTCGACGTGTACGTGTTCACATATCGCGACAATTGGTGGTGTCGAATCCGCTTCGTAGTATTGTTCATACGAAGCGCTGTGTCCACACTTGCTGCCACTTGTTCAATGTGCATCGGATTTACCAGTAACGCGCCCTGGAAAGATGACGCACACCTGTCAGTAGCAAGAGCTTTCGTCAACACAACAATATAATCCTACAATAGAAAGCACTGTACCCTGCAAATTCGCTGTAGACCAGCACCCCATGACAGCTCTTCTTCTGAGCAGCAATAAACTCCATGGCCTGCAGATTAATTCCTTCCTTGATGCTGCTAACGATAGCCACGTCCGCACAGTTATATAGCGCAACGAGCTGATCGTGATCGATAGACTGCTTCAGGTACCGTACGGGACAGTACTCCGCTGTTCCAAATTTCCCATTCACTCGACCCACGAGCTCATTGATCTGTCGACTGAGCATCCTATACTGTAGAGAAGATGTACGTCCTGCATCTCTCACAACTGCATATAGCACCACTTTTCCCCGATATTCTGGATAATGTTGAAGCAGATACTCCATCGCCTCGAGCATCTCCGGGATTCCCTTACAGAAGTCCAGCTTGTGTACCCCCACAATGATCTTCATCCCGTCTTGTTGTCTCTTCAGCATCTCCACATTAGCCTCCACTTTGGGTGTAAGTGCGTATTTAGCTGGATCAATCCCCATAGGACAAATTCCCAATGAGATGAGGCGGCCATTGTACTCAACGCGACTGGGTGAGGACTCGAGTCCAAGCATTCGCGTACAGACATTAAGAAAGTGTCGTACATAGTCGAAGTGATTGAATACGACCAGGTCTGCGCCTAAAACTCCATGGAGAAGCGCCTCCCGCACTGGCAGCATCTGGAAGAACTCGGAAGACGGGAAGGGACAATGGAAGTAAAAGCCACACGTGATTTCGGGGAAGCGTCGACGTAATAGACCAGGTAACGCCATGAGCTGGTAGTCACAGACTAAAACGAGATCTCCGTCCTTGTAGATCTCCGATACAGCTTCGAGAAACTTCTGATTAGCTGAGCAGTAGGCGTCATATTTCTCTCCAAAGTTCTCGAGCAAGCGACTGTCCGAACGCTGCGGCAGTGAGTGGAAGAGTGGCCATAGCACAACATTGCAGAACTGATTCTGGTACAGATCGACTGTTTCGTGGCTTAGAAAGACTGGGTGACACGCAAAGTCCGTCTCCAGACGACGTCGGACTCCGTCTTGACTCGATTCGTCCACATTCGCTCCAGGCCACGAGACCCAACGCACTGTATTGCCTTTTCCTAGGTAATCGATGGCGCTCTTAAGTCCTGTGGCCGATGGAATGTACTGCCAACTGTCACCACGCTCCGTTTTGAGCATCCGCACACAGCGACGAAGTGAGCACACGATGATCTTGTTAGAGTCGTTGGCCATGGGGATAGGACCGAGATTGCGCGCCAGCGAAGTGTAACGCTGCGAGTCTTGGCGCACAGCCGCCAACCGCCGATGCAGATCGTGCAGTTGATCCAGCAGCGAGCTCTCGCCCAACTCGGGCTCCATTTCAGCAGCTAACATTTGTTAGCAGTCCGGCAAATTCTCAAATGGCTTTGATGGAGTTGGACTAAAGAGAACCGAAGTTTCATTGGACAAAAACAGAGGTTCACACGGCCTTTAATTGGTAGATAGATGCTGCTTCAACATCAAAAATGGTGCAAAATTTGCAAAAAAATGGTACAAAATTTGCGACAGTAGCGCTGAAGAAACCCATGTCAATATATTTGACTTTACGTGACTGGTGTCAAAACCATAATTAATGCGAGAAATGTCATTGGGTGCCTTCGAAAACCCCATAAAACCCTTTTAATTGCTTAATCACTATTAATAGAGGTCCACGATAAAATATGAGACAGCATCAAACGAAAAGATGCTACTAAACCTAAGTACGAATTGCGATTTTAGCACACCGTTGGGAAGACTAGCGTTTCTGTGGTGTCTCCAGCTCATTCAGAAGTTGTGTACAAGCTGAGCCATGTAAGCCATAAACATAAATCTTCTACAAAATCAAGTTACTCGAAAAATAATTTTTTTTATTGTGCTACAGTACTTGGAGCGTTTTTGTACTCTCTATCGAATGGGACTATCCCCACAATCCAAATCAAGCTCCTTCATCATTAAATCCTAGTTTTACAATAGATTTCCCCAAATACCGGGGTTTATTTGCATTATTTTCAGAAATTGAGAAAACTCGATGGTAGCATCATTTTAATTAGCTGCTGACTTTGTTGCTGGCACAGAGCTTACATCGATTACCTCGCACGCTTGGGAGACGGTTTCCAGTCTTGTCTTGAGCTTCACTACTCATCGGGAGCTCTCTGATGCCAGATTTCGCTTTCGGCACCGCATATACAGGGCTTGGTGTGACCTCCTTCGCCTCTGAAGCATCTTGTGCATTCTTATTCTTCTATTCAGCGATCTTTCTCCGCGCTCGTTTGGCCTCGTTCGAGAGCCGTTCTTTTTCATCAGTTGGCGCATCGTAGACTGGATCGGATGCAAACTCACGTGGGACGTATGGTCGCACCTTGTTGTCCATTTGCTGTTTCTTTCCACAGGTTTAGGAGGCGGGCATGGTAACAGGGATGGTAAAGTCGGGCCTTTTCGCCTTTTGAAAAGTTTAGGCGCCGACCATCCGTCTAAACCCATCGCCTTTTCGCCTTTTCGCCTAAACTCTAGACAGCTTTGAAGAGCTAAAAATCTATTATTTATTTAACATATAGCATTTTAGCAGAGGCTCCAACTGCTCTCTTATGCTCACGATCGAGGTGTAGCCGTAGCAACGAAGAAGCCCGAGATGAACAGGCTGGTGGTCACTACCACATGCGGCGTATGCTGAGGCCACGAGTGCTTACACTGAAGGTCGGGCACCAAAACGGCAGCATTGTAGCCCAGAGTGAGGTTACAGAGCTGGGAATATCGGGCGAAGCCGTCGTCTGTGAGGACATGCGGTGACTTGGGTGAGTGGGCGATTAGGACTGCTTCTTCACGGTTGTCTCTCAGATGGGTGTGTGTCTGCTGGTGCCAATCCCATGCCTAATGCTGGGTAGTACTCTTCTTGGCGTACTGTTCCCCAACTCGATTAGGTAGACCTTCTGGATCATCTTTATGGTTCATTTTTTGCTCTGCTTACTGACACTGAAGGAAAGCGCCGATATGGCGTTATCTGGTTGCTTGGGCACAATCATTGTCGACATCATTGCTGTGGTTTTGCTGCAGTGGAACATGTGTGGCCACGCCTCGATTCAGCTACCAGCATCACCTTCGACAGCTTGATTGTTGAGTACGCGCTGGTGGAGATCACGAAGGTGATAGCGATAGAGGTCTGGACGACAGCCGTGATACTAGTTTTCTACCAGTAGGCACCGATGGCTTTCTGCTGATGAAATCTCCCAATGCTCGCGATGGACGCCACAAAACCCGCAACGTCGAAGAAGCTGATTGTGATGTTGTTCGGAAATCAAGAGGCTGTGTCGCGGCACTCTACGTTGCGCGATATGGTTCGATGCGTGGCTTTTGTTTTTGCTTCGGCAAGGAGAAGACGTTGGATAATCAACGAGGCCCATGTCATGTGGCTAATGCGACGCTAGGATTCATTTCTGGTGCCAGAAGTTGCAAAGGTTGGAGAGCACGACTTGGTGTCATCGGCACTAGCTGCGACAGTGAAGTTGGTGGTGACTTTTACCTTACTGGATTTCGTATCGATAACTCACTGGGCGAAGTGGAGATGTGCTGGCGATAGAAGCTTTGTATTTCTCGAGGAGGAGTACTCAGAGAAAACACGTGCGATGATAATGCGCTACTCAAAAGCGCGTGGGAATTACTATCCGTCCCCAGTTGCAATTATAAATGTCATGCGAATGATGATGCACTTCCCACATGCTCATGCATGACGGAGCTCCTGATGTTTGTACAAGCTCGCGCCGCACTCTGTCAAAATAAATGACGATACATCGTCGGCGTTGTCGTGACTCTGCGAATTGCTCGACGTGTGAGCCGCACTCCATTCTGACGTGTAATTGACAACCGAACGGCGATTCTTCAAGTTGCATGCAGTGGCTTGCAAGCTGCTGGACCTACACTGGGCGCTCTGTGGAAATAAGTGTACTTAATGCGCAGCGATGGCAAATGGACTGACAGTTGGAGTAGGCACCGATATATGCTGCGAAGATGTGGGCTACGTATAATGCAATGGGAATGAAGGTTGAAACACACTGAGTTAAACGTTCTGGCCAGTCCTTGGAGAATTGGGCGTAGTCGTGGAGAAAAGCGCAGATAGCGATGCCTTCAATGCGCGAATCCCACTAATTCTCTTCTCCTGTGGAAATTGAGTGTCATCAACGACTGGAAAAGGGGTCGCGTCAGGGGAAGGAATGCGTTCAAACTCCCAGTTGTGGTATGAGTCATTCAGTTGAGATATTGCAAACTCGTTCCCAAGCTCGTCATCTTCAAGAACTTCATCAAGGTATTCCTTCCATCGTGGGAACACGTCTTCTCCATCAACACCGTCGCCGATGTCATCCAAGTCATCGTTTTCAGATGCAGGATGGGATCCTTGCCGTTCTTGCGAAGCCTGTGGAGTGGGTGTTCGTTGACGAGCAGATCGGCGAAGTGGGGTTTGTGACGTGGGAGTCGATCGACGGGTCGCGGCTGGAGACTTGCGTTGGGATGGAGGGTTGTTTGAAGCGGGAGCCATTGGAGTCCATGAAGGTCCCTGTGGGGTGCTTGGGGGAAGTCTATTGGCAGAGAATTGACCTGTCTGGATCGTAGCTTGATGTTGGTTTCCTGGCGACGCATACGTAGCAAGCTCCACCTCGTCACATGTAACTCTATCCACCAGAGGACGCTCAGTAGGATCAAGTATCTTGGTGGTGGTGGGCTCATGTTGACTTGACATGTGGTCGCGTTCTCGTATGTGCTGGCGAATACATTGGATATCCTGCGTTTTCCGGGTTGTCATTTTGTTTCTTCTGGGGGTGTGAATCATACCAAGCTCACTAAATAATCTTTCTGTTGTGGCGGTATTCACTGTGATAGACAGTAACCTGATCGCTAGGTCGGGTAACACACTTGGCGGGTTCTCCTTTTTGACGTGCTTCCAGAACTTGACCTTATTGAAGCGAAACTCTTTTGGATGCGCCGATGTTAAAGTGTTTTCTATCCACTCGATCAGATCGCTTCGAATGAAGCCGAAATCATCGTCAATAAGACGGCGATAGTAGTAAACGGCAAACTTCGCGAGCTGTGCTGATGACACGACTTTGACAGCCTCTTTAATATCAATAATTCGCTGTTGCTCGGCTGTGTCAGTTTGGGTTGATCCTCCTTGCACCAGTCGTTCCTCCACCTCCACAACTCGTTTGTTATGGTCGGTTTGCTGAATTAACTCTCGGCAATCATCAGCGGTTGCAGGATTAAGCAGGAAAGTGAGCATGAACAGTGGCTGTTCACATTGCTGCCACCGCGATTCAACGCAGTCCACCAACGAACTGCGGTAGCCCGACAAAACCACCGCAAATCCCCGGAAAATGTCACGGAACGAAACAACTACATCAGCAAGTGTGTTTTCATCCCGCTGGAGTCGGTACGATGCCTCTGACAGTGGTGCAACGCTTCCTCTAATTTTCTCCAAAAGGAGCGATCGCTGAAAACATCTAGGGAAACTGGAAAATCTTTGTAGCCACGGTACTTGCTACAAAACATTTCAAGCGAAGTT